TGTAACGGAAACTGGATGGGAAATACCTGCAATGGTAAAACACATATATTATTTCAATACAATGTCCGAGGTGAACAAGCAATAATGGCTAGAGGAAGCCTGTGGTGACCTCAAAAGTAATGGTGCAACGATTCTCATAAAAATATATTCCCCGGGTTCAATTTAACCCTCCCCTTCCACAACGAATGGATAAAGTATCTCAATACATTCAAACGTGATAATTTAAGAAACTAATTTTGTCAACTGCGAGTTGGAATTATGCCAAACATCTGATAGCCTGATGACAGTTAAAAATTAACAATAGTGACTTCAATAAAACGAAAGGAAACCCTCCACAGTTCTCTTGGAATAAAACAGACGAGGAAAAAAGTGTCAGGGTGCAAAACTTCCACTGAATAATGGTACATTTCACCATACCTCCACTTTTTGATAACAGTACAAGGATGAAAGCAAAACGAAATCATTTTTGTTGGGATGTTCATTTTTTGCATAATGTCCGTAATTCTGTCAGAACAACAGGACTTTGGATAGAGAAACATGCATGTGTTCATGTGACGGAAACTGGAACAAAACATGTATTTTTTATATGATATCCGAGGAAGACAAACAAAAATGGAAATTGTTGGCGTCCAGCGACTCTCAACATGTTAAAGGAGCCCCAAGTTGGCTTTGCCCTCCCATAATAATTAGAAAACGTATCTCAACAACTTCAAAAATGATACTTTGAGAAACTATATGCACAGTCGAGAATCAGAATTTTGCAGAAATATTGGAACGAAATTACCACCCATGGCTCATAACCCCCCCCAAACAAAAACAAATTCCTCAAAATTTGTTGAAGAATAAACAGACAGAAAAGGGCATCAAGGCACAAACTTCCACTGATAAATCTCGCCACACTTCAATATTTCGGTGAAAGTACAAAGATGAAATGCAAAAAATATATCAAGATTTAATTGTTGTTTGTTCATATATAGGATGTCAATTATCCTGTCAGAATGGCGGGACATTAGACGAAGGAACATGCATGTGTTCATGTGCTGGAAACTGGATGGGAAACACCTGCAATGGTAAAAACACGTTTATATTTTTATAATATGGTGACCTCAAACGTAGCAGTCCAGCGACTCTGATCGTGTAAACAAACAGAATTCCCTAAATTAGTTTTAGCCTTTCCCAATAAATGGCCAAAGTGTCAACTATGTCACTTGTGAATTGCCAAATATCTGATAATGTAATGATGAGTTGGAACTGGAACACATGGCTTAAAACTAATGGAACTCATTAACAGTTGTTAGGGAATGAACAGACGGGAAATGGGCATAAGGGCACAGAACTTTCACTAAATTGACGCAACTCACCAAACTTCCACATTTTTGTACAATTCAAAACAATTCCTTTATTTGTTCCTGAAAATACAAGTCTTAAAAACTGTTTTGTTGTCTTTCTTTTGTTGGTTGAATATTCCATGTGAACCGTGTTTTTTGGGTTTTTTTTCCTTTTTTTCAAAAATTTGTATTTTAAATCTTCTTTGAAATAAAGGTTCCATTGGAAAAGTGACAAAAGTGTTGTTGCGTTTGGTCGTTTTCAGAGTGTCAGTTATCGTGTCAAAACAGCGGGACATTGGATAGAGGAACATGCACGTGTTCATGTAACGGAAACTGGATGGGAAATACCTGCAATGGTAAAACACATATTTTATTTTAATACAATATCCGAGGTGAACAAGCAATAATGGCTAGAGGAAGCCTGTGGTGACCTCAAAAGTAATGGTCCAACGACTCTCATAAAAATATATTCCCCGAGTTCAATTTAACCATCCCCTTCCACAACAAATGGATAAAATATCTCAATAGATTCAAACGTGATAAGTTAAGAAACTAGTTTTGTCAACTGCTAGTTGGAATTGTGCCAAACATCTGATAGCGTGATGACAGATAAAATTAAGAGTCGTGATTTAAATAAACCTAAAGGAAACCTTCAACAGTTTTCGTGGAATAAACAGACGAGGAAAAAAAGTGTCAGGGTTCAAAACTTCCGCTGAATAATGGTACATTTCACCATACTTCCACTTGTTGATAACAGTACAAGGATGAAAGCAAAACAAAATCATGTTTCTTTATGATTTTTGTTGGGGTGTTCATCTTTTGCAGAATGTCCGTTATTCTGTCAAAACGACGGGACATTGGATGGAGGAACATGCACGTGTTCATGTGACGGAAACTGGATGGGAAATACCTGCAATGGTAAAACACGTATATTTGTATATGATATCCGAGGAAGACAAACAAAAATGGAAAGAGTTGGCGTCCAGCGACTCTCAACATGTTAAAGGAGCCCCAAGTTGGCTTTGCCCTTCCAAAATAATTAGAAAACGTATCTCAACAACTTCAAAAATGAT